GCGTCCTAAAATTTTTTTGTGTAGAGATTTGTACACTATCTTGATGTCATGCGAAATTGAATAATTTTTACCACAATAGACTACAATCGTGACTTCTAAATTTCATTTTGATAATATATTTTTTTCGAAATCCTCTGGTGAACGCTTTTCTGCTAAATTAATCTGGTACATGGTTTATTTTGTTCCACGTAATAGGATTATATATCAAGTACCCCGGGCTAAGATAGTATCTAGCTTTGTGTATATTTTTTCGTAGCGTGTCTAATTTTTATTATGTAATAAAATAAATAATTTATGTATATCCCTCTCTGACCGTTATCTGTTACTCTCTGGTGTGTCGCAAAGCTTTCATCTTCGTCCTGTATTGTTCAATGTTTTTTTACTGGCATCAAGGTGACGTTTTTCAACAATGCGGATATTAGCCTTTGGAGATGTCTTAAAAACGTTCATTAACCCATCTGATTTGACAGTTTTGCAGGAAGATATTGACGATCAGTTTTTATCGTGCTTTTGCAATAAGTATCTTAATGCGTTCAAATGTTACGTCTACTTTTATTTGTTCATTAATAATTAATGTATTGTTGACATATAAACTGTTGGCAGCGTTATTTTTTGTTAATTTCTAATATTCTATCATTGGCTAAAAATCAAAAAAATTGATTTTGGAAATGGAAGCGTCGAGAATTCCGCTGTTAAAATCGCGATCATTGTTCTTAGTGCGAGTTTTTTAACGTTCTCGATAGCGTAAAAGTTAACTCAAATTTCTATTGAGTTGGAACGTTCGCCTACGTTTGCCGCTCGGGGCGCTGTTCCAACTGCATACAAATTTGAGTTAAGTTTTACGATGTCGAGAACGCTAAAAAACTCGAACTAAGCACACAGGAGGCGAACGTGACGAAGTACAACACATACCGGTCGAAGTCCGTTCACACCGCAGGGCGTAACGGTAACTTACGCGTGCGAACGCACCTGACGTGTCCAGTACAGCGCCTGCGGACACATGTCCTGTGCTCTGATTGTATGCGATGTGCACAATGAATACCTGTTTTAACATTAAAGTTTTTATTTAAAAATATATTTTATTCTATTACGATTTTAAAGGAAAGTAAACAGAATTATATATTTTCTTGTTTCCTCAACCGCATGAAAATTATCTATGGAACTACTAAAGAATGTTAATTAGGAACTGAAACCCCATTTTACAATTAGATTTTCAGCAATTTCACTTTTTTTTTTTCTTTCACCTAAAATATTGCGACATTTTAACAAGAACGATACAATTTGATTAGAGCTAAATTAAAAACGGCAATGCGAGACAACAGGTGCCACTGTTTAGTTTTAGGGGTTAAATTCATTATAAAGATCGGTAAGTCACCGGTCACGGTGTGCGGGCCACGCCATCTGGTGGCGTCGTGGGAAAACTTAACGTATGTAACACCCGTTTTACGCCCACCCCTTGTGGTCTATGTCTTTTGGCCTGTATGGGAAAATATCTACAGAATATGGTAATAATGATAATAATGATTCCGCGCAACGATTGAGTTAGGTCAATTATTTGTTATTCTTCTAGTGTTTTAAAAGCTGCTCAAAGCTCTAATTGTATTATTATGGCCTTAACAAAAAGGCATAAAACGGTTTAATCTCTTGTTTATTATTTTCATTGTTATCTCTGACGCTTTGAATCCCTTAATGTTTTCGTGGTCATGAAAAGACGTTATTCGACGATATTTGAATATTTTGCTAACTACCCTCAAATTTTAGTAATGCCTACATGTGAAAATCTGAAAACCTTATTTACTTAAGTTTATTTCTAAAAACTTATTTATTACCTTTATTACAAATTTTGAAACAAGAAACAATTAAAAAACTACATTCAACAAAGAGCGTTCTCGCTGTGCTTTTAGCAAAAGTGTTCAACGATTTTCATGTCTCTCTCTCTAAGGCAACTAACTCTGCTGTTAAAAAATATATGTATATACACATATATTTTTTAAATAATTCCCATTGGAATTGGGATTCCTATTGTTCTCGCGTTGTATACCCATATATTCTAACTCGATTTCGAAATGCTTTTTTTATGTATTCTTTCTTAGATAGGTGAACGAGCTCACGCCCCACCTGATGTTAAGTGGTTGCCCGAACCTATAGACATCATCAATGTAAATGCGGCTACCCACCAAGGTGTCTCAAGAGACATGAGTTCTAAGGCTTTCACAGACGACGGCTGCCCCACGATTGAAACAGAAACTACTGCTTCACGGTAGAAATAGGCATGATGATGGTACCTACCAGTGCAGACTAATAAGAAGTCCTATCTTAGTTAAGTTTAGGTAGTTACATACATTTATTTTTTATCTTTTACCTCGAACATTTAAAATCATGTCTGGTAGGTATTTAAGAATAATCAAAAAAAATTGCTTATGTGCCAATTCATTACTGCCTCGTCAGCATTATCGTGATCTACAAACAGATTTAGGTGCATACTTAAATTTTTAAACCTACATACGCTGAATTAGTCACGCACAAGTGATTTTTACTATTTTCCCCGATGCAAATGCCGGGTCAAGTGAGCATATTAACCCTCACCTCGCAGGTGGGGTGGGGGTGGCGTGCCCCTGATAATTTGTAACCAACACTTCAGTGTTTTGTGCCATCATATACAGTTTGGTTGACCTTTGAAGTGCTCCTGTGACGTGACCATTTAAAATACCGATCGAATCTTCGGAAGCTTAGGTAGGATTTATTTATCTATAAACTAAATTGATGATAGAACGGATAAGATTTTTCATAGAACTTGCTTATCAAATATAGACAGATAGATAGGTATAGAAATATATAAAAAAAACATAATTGATTATTGTTGATGACAAGTTGATTTTTTTATATTTTATTTTGTTGCTTAGATGCGTGTACGAGCTCACAGTCCACCTGATGTTAAGTGGTTACTGGAGCCCATAGACATATACAACGTAAACACGCCAGCCACCTTGAGATATAATTCAAATCTAGAGTATAATTAGAGCGACGTGTCTGAGAAAATGATATTCCCGAGCGACGACAAATTCCTTCACATATCAGGGATCACGATGCTGACATCGCCCATTCATATTTCCCTGATGATATCACGTTATCAGCCTTGCCTTATCACGGACGCGGCTTTCGTCAGACAATGCTCGAGGCGTGGCCTCTGTCGTCGTGACTGTATTAATTCTGCATGTGTCAATGCGAACCATTTCGTACTTCCGACGTTTGGGTCGTGATCATGCAGTCATAAATATCGTCTTCGATGCTAGATCGTTGTCAGCGCGAGATAAGCGGCTCTGCATGTACACACACACACACACACTCACACACGTATTTGTGTGTATGAGGGCGTTGTTATGTACCGTTTAAAGAAACATCCGTAATTATCTAGTTAAATGTGTTTCATAGTTGAAACACGTGCTGTAATAAAAACGAAAACTGTTATTAAGAAAATAAGTACAGCAAGTTAACAATCTATATATTAATACGTGAAGCAAAAACTTTGTCTCCCTTTTTACGAAAATTGCGCGGACGGAGGAGTATGAAATTTTCCACACTTATAGAGAATATAGAGAAAAAGTGCACAATGCTAATCTTTTTTTAAAATAATGCATATAAGATACATTAAATCAATAAAGAAAACATTACACACACTACATACCATGTATTTGACGCACGCACGCATTCATACTATTTATTGTCAAACTTTTATTCCTGACGTCTGTGGTCAAATTGAGAATAGATTAAATATTGTTTGTCTTTGTTAATATTTTTTTATAGTGTAGCCTTGGCGAAATTTGTGATTATAGAAGTATACATTACAATCATAATAGTGTACAAACTTATTATAAAATTCCAATTAATTATAGTCGAATTTCGACTACTGCGGGACCTCTAGTGACGATTAAATTTAGCATAATTAAATCTGATTTCGGAAATTTCATATTTATGTTCTCTTTGAAACTTCAAAAAGGCGATGTTAGAGCTTTGACAGCTAACGCCGCCGATCGCTTGAATATTCAAACACATCAGCATACAGCATCGGAGCATTATTTCACGTCAATTTTCGCCGATAGCAAGACATAGTGTTGGTAGCCGCGTATTTACATAGTCGCTAACGAACTGCACTCTTGTCTGGGGACTCGATAAATAACGAATTAACACGTGTCAATACGTTAGACTATCTACAATGAGTTATGTGTCCTGTTACAAGTCTTCAGTATAATAACTGGCGGTTTGTTGCATTAATCCGTTTATTTAGCATATCCAGATAATAGCACAGAGAATAGGATAGCTTATGACTAAACTTTCTTTATGCCTGAAGAGGCGACTTAAAATCTTTACACCGTTTTGTTGTAATTAAATTTTCTTCCTCAATGTTATTTTGTTTTAACTTATGATACACGTCATGAATTCAAGATAGTAATGATTGATGGCTTTGAACTAGCCAGATTAATGAAATTTAATTTATATATTGGATCGATGGACGAGTTAATGGTGTTAAGTGAGAAGAGCTCATAGGCATCATAACGTGAATATCGCCGCCCACTTTCAGGTGAAGTCTTGAAGTGTCCGTATATTGACTAATTGCGGGCATTTAGAAATTTTACGGGTCTCACTCCATTTTTTTTATTGCTCTGATGGGTGGACGAGCTCACAGCCCACCTGATGTTAAGTGCTTACTGGAGCCCACAGAAATCTACAACGTAAATGTGCCACCCACCTTGAGATAAGTTCTAAGGTCTCAGTATAGTTCCAACGGCTGCCCCACTCTTCAAACCGAAACGCATTACTGCTTCACGGCAGAAATAGGCAGGGTGGCGGTACCTACCCGCGCGGACTCACAAGAGGTCCTAACACCAGTAATAATATTTTAATATTTCTTGGTTTTAAGGATTTTTGTTGTTATGCAACACGTTTCAAAGTATCTAAGTTAGAAAATAAACTGATCCGAACTTTACTATTGCAATTTTCAGAGCGTCAAGCAACCAGCGAAAAGTTCAGCTCCCAGTCGATAACCGAAGAAGAAGACAGAGAAGACACAGAGCCAAGGTGCTCCTTCTGCGACGCTCCTTGCGCTAATATAGAACTGTAAGTAACTTTAATGACGTAAGATTTAGAGTACATTTTTCTACGTAGAGAAGCGCAGCCTAATCAAGTTACATAATAATTTTATAAGCTACATATATTCCAATATTCTAATTGACCCCCATTTGATATAATGTCAAGAGAAACACTGATGATTTTTTTTGTTAGCCGGGACCTACAACACCTTTGACATTTTTGGCGTACATTAATTGATTTCAGAATACAATGAAATGTTAGATTTCTTATTGTCTGAAAGATTAATTTCATTAAGACTGCAAGATAATATAATAAGCTTCAAAAACATTCATTATCACTATTAACCCTTCGACTGTGTTTACTGTATGATATTATTATTATTTATATACAAAATATGTGAATCTTAAATAGTTTATGGAGCATCGGTTTATAAACATACCTTACTGGGTCGTCACGAAAAAACAATTATCGTGAATTCATTATTTGTGACGATTATCATCGGCCATTCGTGGTGTGTCATCATATTTATTAGAACAGCGTTGGGTTGTCAATAATGCACGATATCGAGATTATCGACATGCACACATAGTCGTATCGCGCCATCACTAGTGCTTAACGATTCAAACATGACTTTCGATCTGTGGTCTGTGTTGTATCTATCCTAAACGTCACTAAATTATTCGTATTTCGTCGGTATCTAATAACAATATTTTTACAAGAACTATGTATAAACCCACAACGAATTTTTATTATTATTTATTTTATTCATAAAAATAAAAAAACCATTACAATATTATGTTATTTGGATTAATGAACAGAATTGCTAAATTTTGGCCAGTTTATAAGTTTTCTTGGTGTCTACAAAAAAAAAAAAACAATTTAGATGGTAGCATGTTATACGTTCTATTCCTAAAAACATACAAAGAGATATAGAGACACATACAATTAAAATATGATTAGATAGATAGTTACCCGTTTCAGTCCTCGTGCTCTTGCCCCTAAGTATTATCCTTTTATATTTGGATTTAGCTTTCTTAGAACTACTACGCCCTTGTAATAGTACTTCTGTGCACCATACGGTTGTCAGATAATATTTATTTAACATTTAATTTTTTATTGTTCGTATCTAGACAATTAACCGACATCCACAACCTCTTTTTCTGTCTTCTATTATATTTATATTCTATTATATTATAATCATGATTCTTTTATATTTTTCCCTTATTTGTATGATCTCCTCTCCTCTGGTCCTATACCCGCAACAACACGAGCAATTTTACTATGTTTTTTCACATATCTACGCTACGATATATCTATCTACGCTACGCTACCTAAACAGTATCATTGATATCTAAAAACTGTAAAACTTTTTTTTCTTTTATTGCAATTTTTTATTCTCTCCCTCTCTCATTCTCATTCTGGGTCTTGTCTTTATCTTTTATCACTCTTACTTTCTGCATTGTGTTCGGTACGATTCGCTTGATCATCACTATTGTGACGACTTTATTGTTAAGACGAGTGGACCAGTTCACGGCCCATTTGATGTTAAGTGATCGTCGGGAGCTCATAGACATCGATCACGTTAGTGCCGCCATCCACTGGGCGTCTTATCCTTTAAGCCACAAATACTTAAACAAACACCTTGAAGAAATATCAGATATATTTCGTTGTTACTAAATCAAAATGGTAACTATGCTTTTTTTACACAATACAACTGACAACAAAGAACTTTGATTTTATATGTAATTTACGCTTATTTAATTGAATTTATAACTAAATGATTACGAGATGTTAAATAATGCTTAATATTAATTACTTGCTTTATCTGAGTTTCAATTGAATAAAGAAAACATTCTGAAAAAAAATCCTCATAGACATTCAAAACACAATAATCATTTTAAAAATAATTAATATAGACATCCTATTGTTTTCTGAAGAACTCGAAGACAGATACAAATCGTACATGAGTTAGCAATATCGATTTTATCGCAACATCGACTGAGCTACGGAATCCAAACGGTTGTTAGCTGTACCGGGATATACAATCGATTATTAAAATGTAAGCGTACTCGTCGGTAGTTCATTATTCGTGGCGAAGCAATAAAATCGCGCTTTTTTTGTCAATCTATTTTAAATTTTTGCTATTTTATCAATCAACTAAACGTTTAGTAGGGGAGGTTGTTAGTCCGCAAGGGTAGGCTGTAGGCACATCAAAGATAAGAATGATTATTTTTCCAAGGTCTTAGGGTCTTCGATCGCAGGACTAAATATAGGTATTTTAGTTGTGTTACTTCTCGTCATTGCCTCTTGTAATCACTACTTCAGGTAGAATGTATGTTCGTCTATCATCTATTTTTTTCTTTTTTTTTTTTTACTAAAACAAAAAAAAACCATAAGTAAGTTTTCTGTTTATTGAACTAGTCGAATCCGACCCGCTTTGCTGCCCAGTCTTTGAGACGACTTTGAACCGATCGCTATTTCACAGGGCAATTTGAAGATTTCCTCAAAATTTCATCGAAATCGACCCAGTCGTTTCGGAATCTATAGGAAACAAACATACACATCGACTTTTATATTATCTATATAAAAATATGTATTAAAATTATATTACTTAGATTTTATTATTATTGAATTGCATCGAATAATATTAGTGTCTCTATCTAGTGTGTTTTTGTATTTCATATAAATAATTAAAATGCGTCATTTTAATGCACATCTGGTGGCTCGTGTGGGTGGAGCTTAATGGATCGACTTCTAACGAAAGTTGTTCATTGGATGTTATCAATTCGAGAACATGTAGATTATTGCAATGATCAGGCTATCGGTGAAGCTAAGAGAGATCGAGGCCATTTTTGTTTCGATCAAGAGTTAATTATTCATTTTCTTATTTATTCACTGGTGGTAGGACCTCTTGGGAGTCCGCACGGGTAGGTACCACCACCCTGCCTATTTCTGCCGTGAAGCAGTAATGCGTTTCGGTTCGAAGGGTGGGGCAGCCGTTGTAACTATACTGAGACTTTAGAACTTATATCTCAAGGTGGGTGGCGCATTTACGTTGTAGATGTCTATGGGCCCCGGTAACCACTTACCACGTGGTGGGCTGTGTGCTCGTCCACCCATCTAAGCAATAAAAATAAAAAAAAATTCTAAATTAATCAAAAGTGATTTGTAATTTTTTGCAAAACGAGCCTTGCATTTTTGGCTTCCAAGCATTTGGGCCACCGATGGGCCGCCCAGCTCCAGATTTCAAATATCTCCTTGCCCTTCAAACGAAAACAGGTCGCTTAATATAAAAAATAAATAAATTAAAACCTTTTTAAATCTGAGCGACGATCATGATAACGCCACTCAATAACGTCCCAATCAAAACGCTTATTATGAGCTACAAAACAAATTCGCAACGTACTTTCAATTGTAAACGTAAATTATGCAACAGCCTATTAAACCGTACACAATCGATCTCTGTTAGGAACATTTACTTAGACGTTGTGTGCGTTTGTAATAAGAAAGAAAAAAAACAGAGGTTGCCGCCGCAGATTGTTCTGACAGATGGGAGCTGTTGTAAGCGAGCCCCGGGGCGGTCTGTTGTACCGGTGCGCGTGCTTTGATTACCAATCTACTAAATAACTACTATAAATGAGTGTACTGTCTCGATTGTTAGAAATATTGCCAAATCTCGAATTGATTCAACTAATTGTGCTCGTTGTGAAACAGCCGTAACGCAATTGAAGCAGTGCAGTTTTCTTTGTCATTCTTCTTCTTCTTCTTAGTCGGTCTCTTCATTGCCGAAGATCGTGTCTAGCTTAAAGTGTTGATGTACTATGCTTCTCCATATCTCCTTGTTCGATGGAACAGTATTTATGATTAATAAATCATTAATTGGTAATATTTAAAATTAGAAATGTTTACTCCAGTTTCAATGGTTCCGTGTGGGTTGTATGGGAACAAAAAAAAAAACAAAATATTTTATTTGGAATTTAATCGTTGAAAGGTAACTGTTAGGTAATCGAAATCCAAAGTGACCACCATCTATCCGGAACCGTACGCAATAGCTTTCTTAGCAATACCAGTCAGGTGTAGGACGGCACGAATACGCAATAGACGACCAGACAGCCAGCACGTAAACGACTCTTACATTACGGACGGCCGATTTTATTTCTCAGATTAATTAAAAGATACGACGAAAGGCGAACCGTCCGTAAGAATGAAAACGTGTCTCATCGTGTCCGTTGTAGGAACGCTAATGACTTTTTCGATGTCGACTGATCTTTATGTATCAATCATCGGAGTAATTATCAGACAAAAGTGGCAATGGAATAAGAACTTTTGTTTTATTCTCAATAAACGTGTTGTAGCAGGTGTAGCATTAGAAAATCGCCGGAGGCTGTAAGGGTTGCATGTGGCGGACCAGTTACGTCAAGGAGACTCACTGAGGCCGCTTAGCAAAATGATACACGTTTTCCATCAGATGTCGTCAGGGCTTAGATATTGACTTAGATTGTCCCTATTTAGAAAATAAGGGGCATAGTTATTATATATTATTTACATATAATTATATGCATATATTGCTGCTTACTTAATTTCTTGTTTCCCTAGTGATTTAACTTGTGTTTATCGGTGAGGACTTTTAATTAGTTTTCTGTTTATATTTGTTGTTATTTTATTATATTTTTTTATTGCTTAGGTGGGTGGACAAGCTCACAGCCCACCTGGTGTTAAGTGGTTACTGGAGGCCATAGACATCTACAACGTAAATGCGCCACCCACCTTGAGATATAAGTTCTAAGGTCTCAGTATAGTTACAACGGCTTCCCGACCCTTCAAACCGAAACGCATTACTGCTTCACGGCAGAAATAGGCGGGGTGGTGGTACCTAACCGTGTGGACTCACGAGAGGTCCTACCACCAGTAATTACGCAAATTATAAATTGAGCTATTAATCATTCTTGTATCAAAGAGACAAAAAAGATAACTACAATAGTAATTTTTATTAAATTAATTGGTTGAACATATAAAATATGAACGAGATTTGGGGTCATAGTTAAGTCCGTTGTAATTATGCTATAGTTTGGTAATTATTATTAAAATGATTAATATTAACGAATACTTATTTTGATTATTTTTTCCTAGTTCTAACAGTAGGGCTGGTTCTTTAAGCGTACGTAAAATATAATCAACTAGGCAAAGTAAATGAAGTCTATACTTAGTGATAATAAGTGTATGAGCTGCTGATGGAGCACCAATAACTAGTTTATAGAACGCATTTCGTTTATAACGTCCTAATTAAACATTACATCGGCTTATGATATTGAAAATGTGGTTTAGTCGAGATAATTATGTTTTACTGTTTTAGTATTACCTAGATTTTATGTTCAATTTAGACAATATTTTATAAATTTTATGACTAAGCCAACACTAAAGTATAAATAATTAACTAAACACAATGAAAGTTAACGACTTTCAAGCTTTCCAACCAATTTTCGATTCGTGAGCCAATCTTTACTTCATTTAAATTTAAACTAGAGGAGCTTTGCTCGTTTTTTTTTTTATAAATTGTTTTTTTTTTTAGAAATTATATTTAAATACAAATTACATATTGATATTTTATTATATTATTTTTTATTTTCTTTCAATAAAAAAAAGTTTATGTTTAAGTTAATTATCGATAAAGCTAATTATTGAAAACACGAATAAAACAACATTTTCTGAAAATAAATCGTAGCTAAATCGATTTATCGCTCCCGAAATCCTCTGTATACTAAATTTTATGAACATCGTTTGGAGCCGTTTCCGATATTTAGGTTATATATATACAAGAATTGCTCGTTTAAAGATATAATAAGGTCTATTAATGGCGTCGGTTATTTTTTGGTGTTCAATGCGTTCTGGTTTCCGAATGCATTGAATCTTAACAAATACAGTTGTCAATGTCATATTGTTTTCACACATAACCATATTTCATGTTTCACAATGAACCCAGGCGAACTTATGAAACAAGTACATTCATACGTTTTTGCTTAATTTCATTACACACTAATGAGCTTTTTCACCTGAAAATGTAAATTATATCAATTTGAATTTTACAGCACTCAAATTGAAAGTTATTTGATAGTATGGTCAAAATGAACAAAATATAAATAATTAGACAGTTAGAAGTCGTCGTGGCCTAAATGATAAGACAGTTGATATACTTTTATCATAAGATGCTACTTTGTCGGCGTTCAAATCTCGTAGATACGTACCAAAAGTTTCTACTAAAATACGTATTCAGCTCATGTTCACGAATGACTTCCACTATGCAGGCATACCAAATACTCTTTAGGAGTTATATTGGCAGTGGTCAATAATGGTTCAGGAATTAGGGGGTTATCGGAAGTGAGATAATTAAATAACATAACTGGTTAATCGTAGCGTTTATTCGCGATTGAACTTAAAAAGTAAAAAGCAACGGAGCTTGCGGGCGCAGTCGCATGTTATGACTACGAACAATTTTGTTTACATAACAAACTGTGTCCCTACAACTCTATTACAAAAACTAAACTTGCTAAAAAAATTATGAGAATTTGCGTAATTCCTGTGCAATTGAGACACACCTCAAGTCTCAAGGTAGGTGGCGGCATTCACGTGTGATATCCATGGGCTCTGGTAATGACTAAACCTCCTAACGTCCTTGGTCGTGAGCTTGATCATCAGTCTAAGCAATAAAAAAATAAGATGTATGGTGTCGTGGGACACCGGATAGGAACGAAGTTCCTTATTATAAAAATTAAATTTTAAGTTCTATTCGAGATATAAAGAAAATAAAACTGGAGGTTTCGCAACAACCCCCGGTCATTCGGTATTGTGCGAACTTATTGTGGTACACTTCATTCACGGTTGTTTGCATAAGAGTTAGTGTATTGCGCATACGAACGCTCTGAGATCGTGGTCAATGAATGATAAAAACATATGTTATTTTTTGTACGTTATTACAAAGTTAAGTCGTACACTGTGTGCATTACTAATAAAAATCTTACGTTACGGACGTTTTTTCCAGGTACCCCTCCGCATCGTCCCATAAGAAACTTCGTTCCAAAAAAATAATAAAAAGCTGCTCTGATTTAGTGATATGAATAATGTTTGTTCCAGGCTCGACCAGCATCTGATCCAGCGTCACGGTCAGCCGGCCGGTGCCTTCCACTGCGAGCTCTGCAACCGCTCGTACAGTTCACGGGCGCTGCTACTCAGACACCGCGCTCTCGCACATACCGACATCAGGAAATATCCTTGCGAAAACTGCCCCAAGGTGTGATGTAGTTCTCGACTTCGCCGTTTAAATCCAGTTACAGTTGCCTGTGTTTCATTTATTCCTAACGTGAAGTAATCTGTTGCTGTCTCTCATGCTTTACTTCTGTACACTTTACTTCTGTTCCGAACGAAAAGTCCGTTAATGGTATATGTCGAAAGTACCGGAGATGCGCAATCATTCGGTCAGCAGAGTTTTTTAGAGGCATTGTTCAAAAAGGGCCCTCGAATTTTGTCTCTGAAGTTAGAAGTCGGATTTACAAATTTTCTGGGGATCCCATCACAGAGGTACCATGCTACTGAATGTATTGGGATTTCGAGTTTGTAATTTCGGGTGCTGTTCCTCAACGGGGTTATTTTGAAGGTCAAAGACTAGCTCATGCAATCAAAAATTGTTTTTGCCAAATACTTTGGATTTAAAATGGATTCATTCAAAGTTTTGCTATGGTCCAAATATTACTAGTCTATAAGCGGCGGTAAGCGTTAACTATCACAGAGGCCATATTATCCTTTTCTTGATGATAATCTTAAACTGTTTCGATCGGGCGATCATGCTTACATTGAGTTGCCAATAGCCTTTTGTTTCAATACAAAAACTGAATAAGTCTTTTCTCGTAAAATTGGGCATACATGAAGAAAGCACAGAATGTAAATGCAACGGTAAATATTTCACGTGTCGCGAAACCTGATGTTATTTCAGGCGTTTACCGATCCTTCCAACCTGCAGCGCCACATCCGCGTGCAGCACGTCGGCGCGCGCAGCCACGCCTGTCCCGAGTGCGGCAAGACCTTCGCCACCTCCTCCGGCCTCAAGCAGCACACGCACATACACTCCAGCGTCAAGCCCTTCCAGTGCAAAGTTTGCTTTAAGGTCAGCTTTGTTAATTTTTACCTGGCAGCCCAAGAAGTATGGTTATAGTTTTTTATATATAAATTTATTAGTTGCGTCCACAAGCAGATGGTAATGTGGCCTGCCCAGTTTTATGTGGCTGTAGATAACTTAAGATAAATGCCGTTGTGATTCGTAGAAGTCGGGATCGAAGTCTCAATTGGATCTTTCATGGATGGTTTCAACCATATAACTGCTTCGTGACAACTGGGTAAAATTATGTTACCGAGCTTAAAAGACTCGTTCTCAAAATCTTTAAACGCTTTATGTTCCTCAACTTCATCTAACAAAACACTTAAATAACTATCATATATATTATATATCAAGTACCTCTATAGTGAAAGCGTTCTAATATTTTGTAAAAAAAAAAACATTTGAGCAAGAAAGTATAATGCAATCAGAATGAAAGTTGAGTTTGAGCATCTATGTAAAACATATATGTTGTATCATTACAGGCCTATACACAGTTTTCAAATCTGTGCCGCCATAAACGCATGCACGTCGCCTGTCGAGCAGTGGTTGAATGCGGAAAGTGTGGTCAGTCCTTCGCATCGTACGCATCCCTGACCAAGCACAAGAGATTTTGCGATACTGCCACGGCATCCGTAAATTTAAGAGGACAAATGCCGCAAGGACTGCCACCGATTCCACCTTTACCAAACGTTGCGATGAATCCTGCAAATAACGCCAATCCATTCCCAATGTACAGAGGCCATACTTTGCCGTTGCATTATAACACGTTTGCCCACTACCCAGCACTGCTATCGGCTGCAGCCGCTGCTGCTTATTCACCTGACTTTTTGAATCCATTCCTTAATGTACAAGGAGCCGCTAGATTGGCCATGGAACACGATCTTGCTATGTCAAATGCTAACTTAGTTTCCAAGCAACAAGAAGGTAGAATGTCTGTTAAAAGCATGGACAGCTGCACGTCCCTCGATGATGCGAAAAAAATGAAGGATTTTGAATCAGAATTGAACAAGAAAGACAGTGCTAGTTCTGATAGAAACACGCCTAGTAAATACCCGGGCACATCCACAAAAATGTCTTCACCATCAATTGAAGAAGTTTCCACGCAGCATAATCCATCAATAATGGCAATGCAGACTCCTATTGTACCATTCAATTTCACAAGAGACGAAATGAAACGAAAGTCTCCATTTAACTTCTCACTAAAACTAAACAACAATGAAGTTATGGGGGTGAAACCATCTTCTCCATCTTTACCGAAAGATTTATCAAAGAATGTAATGGATGACGATAAAGCTTCCGAGTATTCTGAGGCGGAAGAAGATGCCAAAAAAGATGAAGCAGACCAGCCTCTCGATTTGTCCGTTACAAAGAAACAGAGCGACAAAGAATCAGAAGCGGAAAACGATGACCGTTCCTTTCGTAACTCTGTCAAGTCATATTCACCACCAGAGAGTCCTCTCGCCAGAAGCAAGACACCCGAGAATGACACCACTGATGTGGACGTCGAGGGCGTAGAGCCAAAGAGAGACTCTCCCACACAGATGGTCTCCCCGTCAATTGCGTTTCCCATGCCCGTACATCCTCAACACAACAGCATCATTGACGCGATGTATCGTCCCAGATTTCCGTCATTCCACGCATCCGAGTCTATCTTGAATGCATCACACTCTCCTTACGTACCGAGTCCTTTCAATTTTTTATCCCCCCTTCTGGGCACCGACGGACCGGACCGGCAACAGAGCGCGTACGCCAAGTTCAGAGAACTGAACTCCGGCTCGAGGAAGGGTCGAGATCAGTACGCCTGCAAATTCTGCGGGAAGGTGTTCCCGCGCAGCGCCAACCTGACCCGACATCTGCGCACTCACACCGGTGAGCAGCCCTACAAATGTAAATACTGCGAGCGCTCATTTTCAATCTCGTCGAATCTGCAGCGACACGTGAGGAACATTCATAACAAGGAGCGGCCTTTCCGGTGTCCGCTCTGTGATAGGTGCTTCGGGCAGCAGACAAACCTCGATCGACATTTGAAGAAGCACGAGGCTGAAGGCGGCGATTCACCGAGTTCTGCAGATACGGAGCGCGACGACGCGTACTTTGATGATATCCGTTCCTTCATGGGAAAGGTGACGTGCTCACCTCCGCCGCTCGCCATCTCTACATAGCGCTCCCAGAATCCTTCACTACCTTCCAAATCCAACAGTTCTTTAACGTATTAGATATTAACTTCTACTAGTACTTGTTGAAGTGTACCTATATAATAAAGACTAAAGACCCTTCTGAATTCAGTTCAGTGTTGTAAGGGCATAATACATGACATTGAATGTTAATTGTAAAGTTAATGTAAAAATTAAATGCTGTAGTCATAAAGATAAACGTTGTAAATACGTCGATTTGAGGTCAATAGATTTATTAATCACGTTATCTTAGCTACATTATCGATTCTGTCGTAAAATCAGTAATTGTTTCAAAAATGTTTAATGTGACTTAAATATTTGTTCCTAGTTCACTTCTCGTGAAATAAGCTAAACTCTTTGTGTACATATTAATGTTAGATTGTAAATAAATAAAAATACTATTAGAATTTTAAATTTAAATATGTCCCAGTGATGCGTGCGACGTTTTACTTAATGATTATTGATACAGCAATTCGATAGAATAAAGTGATTTTATTTGTAATAAAAAAATATTTCATAAATTAATTAGTCTTGATTTGAAAATCGAAAAGAAATCTTATTTAGTCTAAATTTTTACCAAAGTTTTCGTTTGTAATTGATTGCAAATTAATTTGTGTAATATCGATTTTTATATGATAATTAAAATGAATTTTGTAACTATATTATATGTAAATTGTTATTGCTTAGTTGTGTCTTTAAGGAAATTAAAAGTAATATTTTTTTGTTGTTATTTACACGGTTGTTGTACATGTATGAAGTTTCATTAAATTAAAATTAAAAGCATATCATATGTTTTTTGATAAAAATCAAAGCTCACTTTAGAAATTGTATTAAAAATGTAGGAGTATTAGAATGTTAATATAATTTAGATTTTGAATAATATATAAAATTTAACACTTCCTATTCCACCTTTTATTCTGTAATTTACGGTACTTTCATGTAAATAAAAACAATTGAAAAAATAGGTTAAATTGATCACTTATAAATTTTCCGCGAGTTTACATTGAAATTTAATTTCATGAAAACAAATATTATAAATCTCCAACGATTTAACTAAATCAAATTATTTTTTAAGTAGTTTTTCTAAATCTTATTCGTGTATTTTATTAAATCAATCAAATGCTTATAAAGTTCTTAACTTTTAATATATCACATATAGTCGCACTATGATTTAAGATATTAATTAGTGTCACGGAAACAATGTATGCGTTCGTCACTCGATAATTCTTAATTTTATTTCAATTTCCAATTATTGTAAACACATTGAGAAATAAAACAGTACAACCGAATATAGTATATTATTTAATTAATTTAATCCAATGAAATATACCTTTAATGGAATGAATGTCTTTTTTTCTACGAAGGCAGGCCAGTATTCTGTCAAGTCAGAACCAGAACCAGTATGCTAGAGCCACAGCGAATATATTGCTAATCACCCAAATGGTTTGCTGCTTCTACCTGCTCGAAATTAGTGGTGTCGGGGCATTTTGAAGTGAAAACTTCTTTAGAATCGTTGTGATTTCAAACCGGATGCAACGGAAAAAACGACAGGTAAGAGACACAAATACAAAAATGTGTAGGATGAAGCCAGCAAAGAATGAGACAGAAATATACATACTATTTAATACAGCGCCATCTGTGAGATTTTTTAATACTAACGTGTGTATGAAAGCTCTTGTAGTGAATTTTAATTTAGGATTATACGTGAAATTAAAATATCAATTCACAGAGGGCGCTACCTTACAATTATTTACTAATGACAAAATTTTACATATACTTAAGACGTTTAGGATAATTGTATTTTAATTTTGGAAGGTTTCACTTCTACCACGTGTGAGTTGCACACATGTTTTTTATTCGCTCTGTATTTTTAATTTACCGTTGTGCATATGGCGTGTACGCCTTAATACGTGGTATACAGAAGGATAATCGGTAAGTTTTATTAAATTACTAGCAATACTGGGCCGCTTCGCTGGGTATTTAAAATTAACATTATTATTTATTATCATTTATTTATATTTATTTAAAATCTTATTAATTACATAATATTTTTTAAAAAAGATATTAAAAATACAATTTTTAAAAAACACTATATAAAAATAGATTGCCGCTGATGGCGGTGTCTACGACACAAGCCACCAGTGGTTAGGACTCCAGAGTGAGAAACCTCCTCACAATGCGTGCAGTATCGAGGATAACTGCTTTCTGTATTAGGCCCTTAACCCAGCTGGATAACGAAAGTTTCTTAAGATGTTGATCGAAACTTTTCGCTATCAAGCCGTGTACCGATACAACTATTGGAACAATGATGGTTGAATCAACATGCCACATGGCGGTAGTCTCGTGGGCCAGGTCTAAATATTTTATTAATTTGTCCTTTTCTGCCTTCACGAGGTTCTCGTCATGAGGAATGGTGACATCAACCAACACTGCTCGACGCGCAGATCGATCTATTATCACAATATCAGGTTTATTGGCAACAATATACCTATCCGTGATAATAGATCGGTCCCAGTAGAGCGTAACATGACCATTATCAAGAACTGGTTGAGGTTGGTATTGGTAATAAGGTACAGCAGAATCAAGAAAACCATATTTCAGAGCAAGTTGTTGATGGATAATCCTAGCCACTTGGTTATGTCTATGCAAGTACTCGCCGTTAGCAAACCGAGAACAGCCAGAAACAATATGTCTAATAGACTCTCCCGGACGGTGGCATGCCCGACAAATGTCGACCGTCCCATCCTTTAGTATATATTTCCGGTAGTTGTTCGTCATGATAACTTCGTCCATAATTGCAAAGATAAAACCTTCAGTTTCCCCAAAGAGGTTACTGAATCGTAACCAGGCCACGGAAGCTAATTGGTCTACATCAGGCCCTGTGAGAGCCCGGTAGAACCTACCGTGTAACTCCTTGCTCCTCCATACGGTTATGCGATCTGAAATACTCTCTACCTTCAGCCTCTTCCAATTCCCGTTAGCTAAGGATAGCGGAGTTAGCCCCTTATCGACTGCAACGACATCCCGATACATATTCACGTTCATCTTAAGGAAATATTCCCTAAGGTTGTATATCTCTCGGTTATGTAGATCCTTGGCATTCAAAATACCACGACCCCCACATTTCCGAGGAATATACAACCTCATTACAGACGAACGTGGATGATGCATTCTGTATGCCGTTAACAATCGCCTGACTTTTCTGTCCAGTACGTCCAGCTCTGATTGCGTCCACCTTAGTATGCCAAAGGAATATGTTAACATAGGCATGACCCAACCATTAAATGCTCGGATTTTGTTTCCGCCTGATAAATGGCTTTTTAAGACCTTTATAAGACGACCAAAAAACCGATCTCTAAACGATTGTTTCATATCTGCGTCAACAATATTCAGCACTTCAAACATACCAAGGTACTTGTAAGTTTCCGATTCACAAAGAGACTTGAGGACCACACTATGGTTAAGTAGTAAGCAATCTGAGCTTACAACTTTACCTCTCTGTACATCTATGAACGCACATTTATCAACACCAAATTCCATCCCAATGGCTTTACTAAAACTGTCGGTTATTTTAAGTAAACTCATTAAGTCTGGTTTTTTGGAAGCAAATAATTTGAGATCTTATTATCATTATTATTAGGGAGTTCAACACTCATATAAATATTAGTATATCCATTAAGTATGTATTTTCTACATGGATCAAGTCAATCGAATGCATGGTTCAGTAGTCATAACGGAACATCCGTAAAAACCACTGTAGATTTATATATTAGTATAGATTGTACTTTCGTCGGTTCGTGATAAGTGTGTCAAATCAATCCGACCTTTTGAAGGGGGTGAAAATAACATTTAAAGATTCCTCTACATAAATGCAGACCAAGCAAAAAAAATCGTATTAAAAAGACAGGAAATACTCACATGAGCTCATTGGTACTAGAACGATCTAGCATAAGTAAGTACAGAAATTATATTTTCGATGTTTGATGAATACTATGCGAAGTTTCTTTTTCATGGTGTAAGTTAATCTTGAATACATTGGGTTGGTATTTCGTTTTTACAGGAACAGAAAAGTAAAGCGGTAGTATTTTTTTTTTTACAAAAATGCATGTTTCATTTAATATTTTCTACGGTTTAATATTTTTAACGAGTCGTAAAAATAATTAAAGGTAATTTCACGGTCGTCCGTGACCATGAAAACCAGGGCCCTTAAACTGCGATATTTTAAGACAAATATTTTTTTTGTATTGAAACTATCGACATCTTGTAGCGGATGCCCCTAAACTTATATGTTGATAAGTCATTTAATTATTGTGTAACTGGGCACAGAAAATAAAAACTTAATAAATAATACAAGTATTTATTTTAGACTAAATATTTTTGTACTGATGACTTTTTATGTTCAAGTGACATTTTAAATTTATTCCATAATATAGTATTTATTTGTTATAGATAAATTGATTAAATTTTATCAATTAGCGATTACTGAATATTTACAAAATCCTTCATTAAAAATAAAATATAGGATAGGTAATTTGTTACTGCCATCCACAGGAGCAATGAGAAACTAATCGAAGCGAAGCCATCTAGTGATCGACGCCCGTAAACATTTTTGTTGAGTGCTTGAGTTGCTTATCTATAATTAATTAATGTGTATAATCTATGATGAAAGCTGTAATGTGAAGAATACTTTAAAAATATAAAAAAATACTTTGAATATAATTACAATTAAAAAAAACGTTAGGTTTAACTGTAAGTTTAGTGGTAATGATGTGATGTCATGTAAATAGGATATATTAAACGAATTATTATTAACGAAATATTTATCAAATTAAATCTGTTTGTAGGTATGTATGCTCATTCCAAACATGTATGGTATAAATTATTTATTTTTACTTAAAAAAAAATGGCCTTATTCGACATACTTTCCATTGTATTACGTAGTCTTAACGAGATTAAAAGTATTGAAAAATAAAAAAAAACAATCAGTC